ACACACACACACACACACACACACACACACACACACACACACACACACACACACACACACACACACACACACACACACACACAGAGTATTCCACAGAAAAACCTGTGTGTGCTGGTCAAATTCAGTTTCAGTTGCCTAAGAAGAATCTTAGATAATTATTGCAATTTTTAATATTTTTATTCTTCCCTTGGTCTTTTTTTTTTTAAAAAAAATATCCAAGGAGAAATTCTACTTTAGTGAAAAGACTTGTTTAAAACAAAAATATTCCTTTTAATTGAGAAAAGTCTTTCTTAATTAATGCAAATGCTGATTGAAATGAGCTGATTAGATGTCACAATAGTTTTATTGCATTCCTCAGAAAAACTTCTTGAAGGCCAGATCCAAGTTAACTTTTTGTTTGACAGGTTCACGTTCTAGATGAGAAGCCGCTGCAAGCTGACCCTTCCTTCAGAAATGTTGCTTTCCGAGTTACCATTCGAGTAAATGTGTGTCAGGGTTCTACTTCTGTGAGATGGTGGTTAAACTCTCTCACAGTGGCATGGTGTACCCCAAAGCCTGTTTCATGACCAGGTGTTCAGTGAGCTTTGGCATCTGTTGTCTGTATGACTGGGCACTAATGGATGGCTGTCTTTCAGCTTTCATGACGCTGGTAATCATAATGCTGCATATGTTCTGGGGCATTGTATTTTTTGATGGCTGTGAGAAGAAGAAGTGGTATGCCCTTCTTGTAGTTCTTCTGACCCATCTGCTGGTGTCAGCCCTGGTGAGTATTGCTACTGTGCTCAAACTTTTTTTTTGGAACTCAAGTCCACATATCTAAAGTGGAAGATTCCACTCTAAATGAAATACATACTCATGGGAAATGGAGGAAATTCAGAAAAGTCATTTAAAAGAATGAATGAATGAATGATAGATAAATCATCCAAGTCTACAGAAAGACAACAACTATTAATTTGTTGGTTGATCTTATTAAAGATTTTTTTCTACGTGTCTTTCTTTTAATGAGTATACTCAAACCTGAAGTAATCTTGCATTATGCTTATGTTATTTAACACATCTTAAACAATTTCCATTTTATTATAAATCCTTTTAATATATAAATTTTAATGGCTTTATATCATTACATAAAAATTATAATTTGCTTAACTGATCACTTCTGTTTCTGCTTTTGGTTGTTATAATACTGTCTTGACCATCTTTGTACATGAAACTTTTTCAATGTATTGTTTAGATTCTGAGGGATAGAATTATGAAGTCAAATGGTGTGAATATTTTTAAAGCCCTTGATGCAAATTGCTAAAATACCCTCCACAAGGGTGGTACCATTTTTATTCATTCTGATCTGTAACGAGAGTGCCCATTTCACTCTCTCCTCACTGACATTATAATAATGCCAGTTTTCAAAATAAATAAAGTTTAAAAAGAAAACTTGTCTACATATATTTTTTAAGTACATTTAATGCTTTGGGTCTGACTTTTATTGTAATTTGTAGTATATTTACATCAGAATTATCCTCACCACTGCCTTGTCCAGACCCTTACCATTTCTCACCTAAAGTATTGAAAAAGTTCCTTCTGATGGTGTTCTGCCTCATGCTTCTCTCCATTCATTTAGAATTTATATCAAGTTTTCTTATACTGGGCTCCTTGTCCTCTGATCCATCTAAAATGCAGTCTTATTGCCTCCCCTACCAAAAACCTTTCAGTGGTGCAGGATACTAAAGTTACCTTTAATATGATGGCAGTTATGTAAAACCAAATCTTCATAGAAAAAAGACTGGAAAGAGAATGCATTAAAATATTAACAGCATTTATCTCTGGGTGGATTCTTTTATTCTTTATAGTTTTGGCATGTTCCAAATTTTCTACAATGTACACTTTTATAATTAGAAAGGAAGTTACATGAAAAAGGCAAATGTCCTTCTTATGGATCCAACTGGTTATTCATTCATTTGACAAATGTTTATTGAGTGCCTTCTATATTCCAGGCACTGTTCTAGGTGAACAAAACAGTTTAGTGAACAAAACAAAGATCCCTGCCTGTACAGTCTAGTGGGAAATAGAGGCAATAAGCAATAGACATAATAAGAAATTATGTAATATTTAGAAATTAATAGGTGCTATGGAAAAAAGGAAAAGTAAAGCAGGTTAAAAGAGATCCAGAGTGTGGGAGGTGAGGGTTATCGAATTTTTGAAATAGGTGATCAGAGTACGCTTCATTGTGAAGGTGATATTTCAGCAAAAAGGTAAAGTGTAGGGTTGGTCATGTGGCTGTCTGGAGAAAGAGCATCCCAGACTGAACAGCCAGTGTCAAAGTCCTAAGACTGAAGAACATGCTTGGCATGTTTATGGAAGCAGGGGTGGCCAGAGTGAGCCAGGGAGAGGTTAATAGGAGATACTGTCACAGAGTTGAAGGTGGGGAGGGAAGGTGGAGGTCAGAGGTGAGAACCACGTCTAGATAATGCAGGACTTTGGCTTTTACTCTCAGTGAAATGGGAGTCGTAGGGTTTTGAAGAGAGGGACGTGATCTGACTCACATTTTAAAAGGATTACTTTGACTGCAGTGTTGAGAGTGGACTGCAGTGAGGGAAGAGATTACAGTCCTCAAGAAAGATGGTGACAACTTGGGTGATATAGCAGTGGAGAATATAAGAAATGATCAGATTCAGGACATATTTTTGAAACTAGAGCCAACAGTATTTCCTGACAGACTGGATAAGGCATGGGAGAGAAAGAAGAGGAGCCAAGGATGTCTCCAAGGTTTTTGGCCTGGACAAGTAGAAGGATGGATTTGCCGTCAGCTGGGATGGGGAAGCTTGTGAGGGGAGATCAGGAGTTCTCTTTGGGCACATGACCTTAGAGGTGCCTATTTGACATCCAAGTGGAGATGTCAGTTAGGCAGTTGGATAAAACAGTCTGGAGTTTGGGAGAGAAATCTGGGCTAGAAACGGTGATTACAAGGAGTAAGTATAAGCAGACAAGAGGCCCAAGGACTGAGCCCTGGGACACTCCAGCATTGAGGTTGGGGGAAGAAGAGGAGCCAGCAAAGGAGACTGAAAAGGAGCAACTAGTGAGGCAGGCGGAAAACCAGGAGCCAGGTGTCCTGGAAACCAAGTATATTAAGGAGGAGAGAGTGACCAGCTGTAGCAGATGCCTTTGAAATAAAACCCAGACTTCTTTGTTTGACATAAGCCTCTTATCAATCTTCTTGGTCAAAACTTACCTCCTGCTGCTCCGCAAGTTCACATCATAGACTCCATCTAAATTGATCCAGTGTGGCATCCGTTTGTACGTGCTGTTTTGTCTGCAGTGACTTATCTTTCCTAACCTAGGTCAGTTTGGAAAACTCCTGTTCATTCCATGTGAAGCCTCCCTGGAAAAGGTGCATATTCAGACTCGGCACTCTCACTAGCCCTTATTCATAGCTGTGTTATAACACTTGTCTTTGGCGACCATTATTTTAATATAGTTTTTACATCTCTCTCCAGTTAGAGTTTGATCATCAAGGACGGGACCTTATCTTGTCAATTTTTGTATCCTCAGTCCCTGACACATAGTAGGCTGGCCAATAAATATTGTTTAATATTGAATAGATTATATTATTCTCCTTAATGATTAAAAAGCCAGGAAATTTGAAATATTATATACTAAAATGTTAACAGTAGTTATGTCTGAATGGCAGATTTCAGAGAATGTTTAAGTAATTGTTTTATTAAAATACAGAAAAGGATACAAATAAGAAGTGTACATCTTGATGAATTTTCACAGTGTGAACACACCTATGTAACTTGAACCTAAATGAAAACTTCATCAGCTCTCACGAGCCTCCTAGTGCCACTTCACTGCTCCTCCAAGAGGAACCACAGTGCTGACTTCTACCACCACAGCTTGCCCTGCCTTTTGCTGTCTTATGTAAATGGAACCATACAACTCCTTTCGCTCAACACTCTGAGATTCATCTGAGTATAGCTATTGATTGCTCTTTCATTGCAGTATAGTGTTCTGCTGTGTGACTATACCATAATTTATCCATTCTCCAGCAGAGAGAAATTTATGGTGTCTCCAGTCTTTAACTATTTTGAGTAGTATCTAGTGTATGTCTCTTGGTGAACAGATGTAGACATTTCTTTGGGTTATATGCCTAGGAGTGGAATTGCTGGTCATGGGATGTACATATGTCAGCTGTTCATACCACTCAGTTTTTCAGAGTGGTTGTATCGACTTACACTCCCACCATTAATTTGTGAGTTGTAGTTCTTCCACCTCCTCACCAACGCTTATTAAGGCATTCTCTTTATTGTTACCCATCACACTGTGTGTGTAGTGGTATCACATTATGGTTTTAATTTGCATTTCCCTCGTGATTAAATGAGGTTTAGCATGTCTTCATATGTTTATTGTCCACTTGGAAATTCTCTTGTGAAGTGCCCATTCAAATCTTTTGCCCATCATTCTATTGGGTTGTCTGTTTTTTTCTTTTTGATTTTTAGGAGTTCTTTATATATCTCTAAGAGAGGCCTTTGTCTGATGTATGTATTGTAATTAACTTCTCCTACAATGTGGTTTATCTTTGTATTCTCTTAATGTTATCTTTTTATAAGCAAAAGTTCTTCATTTTAATGTAGTCTAATCAATTTTTCCTTTATGGTTTGCACTTTTTGTTTCTGTTTAATAAATATTGACATCTGAATTTCAAGCTTTAAAATTTGTTTATTTTGCTCATTTCTGTATTCTCATTTTCTACAATAATCACATATTGCTTTTGTAATTGTTTGAAGGAGAAAACAATTTTTTAAAGAGAAATACAAAAGAGCTTAGCAGCCTGTAAAATAAATTAAAATTTAGTGGATTTGAGATATAGAATTATTCTGAAGAAGAATCCAGAAAATGCTCAACGTTAGCCATGCCCACAGATGCCTCTTGTGAAAAGCACTCTTTCTGCATAAGGTGCTACCTGTAAAATCGGCCCATTTCCCTGGCCAGAGCTGATAGGCAGGGTTGGTGCCTTAGCCAGGGATATGTGCAGGTATGATGAGGGCGAGGACAGTGAGGAGCCTTGATAGGCAAAGGTGTACAGTGACACACTGACCCAATCAGATCCTCTCCTTTGTTAAGTATAAATTCTGGGCCACATGGGAACCCATCTCTCTACCTTACCCTGGCCCGGCAGAGGAAATCTCTTTCCTATCAAAGGCCAGTCCCTCCACTTGGGCTCTAGGCCTAATTCTCTCCTACTTAACGGCTTCACTCCTTTGATAGTGCCCTGTATCCTACCTTACCAGCATGTTCCTCTCTTCATCAGCATACAGACATGTCTTACATAAAATTCTTCCTTATTGCCTTTTCCCCTTCTAGCTACCACCCTTTTTCTTCTGTTCCCCATCACAGCAAGACTTCTCAAAAGAGTTACCTGCATAAATTCTGTCTCCACTTCTTCATCTCTCATACTTCTAGTCCAATCTGGCTTCTGCTCAACCACCCTCCTAAAACTGTACTTGTCAGGGTCAAAAAGGACCTCCATTTCTCCAATCTGATGGACATTGTTCTTTTTTCATCTCAGCAGCCTTTAAAAAGAGTTGACCACCCCGTCTTTGAAATATTTTCATCTTTTGACTTCTGCATCACACTGTCCTGATTTTCCTCTTACCTCACGTTTGCTCTTCTCAGACCCCTTTGCTGACTCCTTTTCAATAAGAGTCAAGCCTATAGGGTGATGTTGACACTTTTAATTTGCTCCTGTGATACTAAACAGCATAAATAATTTATAAATGTTCTCAGGGCTTCGCCTTGACTTCTCTTTTCCCTTCTCTCTACCTAGATCCCTGAGTAATTGCATTCATAGCTATGGCTTTAAATACCATCTATGGACTTTGTTTCTATATTCCTTTTTCTAGCCCAGGCCTCTCCTCTGAGCCCCACACTCATATATCTAACTGCTTACCTGACATCTGCCTTTTGAAATCTCACAGGCGTGTCACTCTTAGCGTGTTCTCCTTGGACTTGATTCTTACCCATCCCTCCAAGCTTGGTCTGTCTCAAGTTTTTGTTATCTCGTGAAATAGCACCACCATTTACTTAAAGCCAGCAACATGGAAGTCGTTCTTGGCCTCTCCCTTTCCCTCACATTCCATGTATCAGCAAGTCCTGTCAGATCATATCATCCATTCTCTCCGTCTGTATCACAACCGCCCTACTCTAAGTCACCATCCTGTACTCTCCTCATCCACTACAGAATCTTCCTAACTAGTCTCCCTGCTTTCACCATAACCTCCTTTAATCCATTCTTTGCAGTTTTAAAAATCTACATCAAGTCATTCAGCTCCTCTGCCTAAAACCCTTCTGTGACCCTCATGGCACTGAGGATAAAATCCAAACTCCTTACCAACATGCTGCTTAGCTGGCCCCTGCCTTCCTCTCTGACCTCATCTCATGTGCTGCCCCTCCGTCCCTACGTGTTATTAATATCAGCTCTTCTCAGGTTCTCAGCCACACTGAGCTCTTTGCCTTCCTTTGGCTCTCTCCTTCAGTCTACACAAGGCTGGCTCACTCCTGCTCTTGTGTGTCTCATTTTAAATGCTACTTCCTCAGGGCCTTCCTTGACCACCCTAAGTAGATCATCTTATTACCTATCCTAGCACCATCATAATTATAATTATTCTGTCCTAGCATTCATCACAATTTGTAGTTAATTAATTTGTTTCTTCATTCGTTGCCTGTCTCCCTTACTCTAGTATATAAGCCCCATTAGGATAGACACTTTGGTCTTCACTATTGTGTAACAGTACTTCTCAGCATCCTATCAGTGTTTTTTAAATGAACTTTTAGAACCTACAGCAATTGTGCAGCTGAAAAAGAGATGCTGTTCCTTCATATTCCCTTGAATACTAAGGATTTATACTAAAGTAACTTGGACTTGTCTCACTTTCTTGCAAATTCTAAGAGCAAATTAACATAGAAATTATTATAAACTGGGCCCAGGTTATATAACATGCACCTTCTATTTGGGTATTTCATTAGGTTCTGGCCTCTGGTTACCTTCTAGGGTTGCCATTTGAATCAGCAAAGCACAGATCTATGGGCTAGTGTCTGTTGACAGGTTAGTTCCATGTGTCTTTGTGGGGCCTGGTGCTCCTCAACACTTGACATACATTATATGTTTAATGAAACACACCCCAGCTATTGAGAGTATTCCATATTTTCCTTTATCTTTGGTTACTCCATGTGTTTAATAAGCTTGCTGTTATTACCCAAACTGATTTATTTTCCCTTTGCAGACCTTCATAAATCCTCATTATGGAATAAATCTGGTGTCAGCATATATAATCATGGTGCTCATGGGCATCTGGGCATTCTTTGCTGCTGGAGGCAGCTGCCGAAGCCTGAAACTATGCCTGCTCTGCCAAGACAAAGACTTCCTCCTTTTCAACCAGCGCTCCAGATAACCCCCGAGCTTAAACAGTAAGCTGCATCTTTAGAGGAAGCACAACTGTGCCTTTTTTTAAAATCCCTTTTCCTGGTGGAATTTAGAACAAAACAAAACTATCTAGATACAATATGGCTTTCAAGCAACAGCTCTCTAAAAGGGATACATCAGTGATGTGCATCTTGGCTGTACATTAGAATCACCTAGGGAAACATAACGACTACTGATTTCTGGGCTCCACCCTCCATATTTAATTGGTCTGGGCATTTGGTAATTTTTAAAAGCTTCCCAGATGACTCAGATGTGCAGCTGGGTTTAGAACCATTGGTGTCCAAATAGGAATTGCCTGAGAGCACCATAAGTAAATAAGAATCAGGTGTTTAGCTGTCTCCTAACTCAACTTGTGCTGAACAAGTAAATATCTGAATGTCAAATCCTGGTTAGCCTTTGTCTTTTTAAGTTCTGAAGTCACAAAAGGCTAAAGGGCTACCATCTCTGTGAACTGTTTTCATGTACTTCACTAGTACCCTGTTTTATGAGAACATGGTAGGCTGTGCTTCTAAATGCAATAATAAATTGCACTGACTTACTATGATAATTTAGCCAAAGTAAACTATTGATTAATCAGCTGTATTTTTCTGTAGTTTTTCCATTCTAGAATTTGCTTTTTGAGTCATTACATTGTTTTTCAAGTATAGATTCAGTTTCTTTAACTAAAAACCAATTATTTTCTGACTTCCTTGAAAGGTATTATAAAGCCAAGAATTTTTGTGTAACATCTATAAATCTTTCCTGGATTTAAGGCTTTTCATGGGCTCTGCCCCAAGGCAGTGTTTGCCAGCTGAGTGCTAGTTGCTGGGCTAGTGGAGGTGAAGCCCATTGTTCTCTCTCTGAGCAGCTCTGCAGGTTGCTGAGTGATGTACCCTGGGACAGGCTTCACTGAAGCTGGTGGAAGTTTACCAAAACGTGAGGAAAACAAGCAAATAGGCTGGTGTTGACACTTTTAATTTGCTCCTGTGATACTAAACACCCCCCCTCAAATGTTGTAGTGTAAAATTGGCAATTATGTCTTAAACTGCCAAATTCATGCTTTTACATAATCCATATAATCTTTAGATCTAGTAAATGTCTCTGGGTTTTGGTAGCAGATACAGCATTTCCTTTATAGGAATACCCAAGGTGTTTGTTCAGCTTCTAAACAACCCTTTTGATTCCCTTTATAAAGAGGAAATGCCAGTGAATTGTGCCTTTCCTAACTAGAAATTGTTCCCAGTTGATGCCTTTTAGGGAGCTAATCGTGTGAAATAGAAATTCCCTAGACTTAAAGTGATAACCTCAGTGAATCCCATATGTGCAGTAGAACATCCAAAAGAAACAGGAGTAGCAATGTGGGGGCTCACCAGTAACATGAAAGATGGAGGAATTTGACAATGCTGTGGTGGGGAAGGATAATGAACATGTTTAAAATGGAAACTCGGCCAGTATTTTGGGCTAGCCACACATAATTCCAGGGACCAGAACCTTACATGTGAACTAGACCTTTAGCAGTGAAATCCCCTCCATAAATTACTAGAATTTCTCAATCTAGGAATTCAAGAGGAATAGGGTTTCTAGCAAGGCTCTAAACATAAGCAATTATGGTTAGTCCCCTAAAGTTTACTTCAGCACCAATACCAATACTTCTGCTAGAGTTCAGAATTTTCCACCTTAATACAAGATTTTCCTTAGTCTAGAAGAGTCATAGGAAGAGTCAAGGACATAGAGACTGAATAGTGAAATTTACTGTGCAGAGTTGAGGGGAACAAGATACCCATTGAACAGGGCTTTATTCCTAGTGGAACGTGGTGTTCTTTGATGAACAGAGTAAGAAAAATGTATAGTTGGTTATTACTGTTGACTTACAAATCTCTTAAATGGATAGTCTGATAAAATTTTGCTGATCTGTAAAGTGTAGAAAAATCTGAGAATATTAATAGTACTCATACTTGAGCTCTGAGGATGTCCTCTGTGCATTAAATTTAATATTAAGTAAAGAAGCTGGGATATTATAAAATCTCATAAAAACTTCTCAAGTGAGAAGAAAATTTTCTTTGATGGTTTGACTATTGTCTTAGTTCAGGAAATTATTTAATAATCTTTGATTACCTATCCATAGAGGAACTTTGTAATCCTGATTTCTCTTAAAATGTGAACACTGCCATAGTCAGCTTAGGCACTATTGTTACAAATAGCCTTGCTCTGCCTCATGCCAAGGAAGCCCAGAGGGAGAGTATAGTCTTCCTCTGTTGCTGTATATATATTGAGATGCTTTTTTTTTTTTTTTCTTTGCATTTGTTATCTTTCTGAGCCCTGAGGGTATTTGGAGAGGAGGAGGTGGTGTTGAGGTTGTCTCTCTCCTCCACATAGGGCTTTCTCAGTTTGGAGGGAAATGTAGGTATAGTTAAAGTTGACCTTGGAATGTGAATATTATTGTAGTGCTTGAATATGTTTCCAAGTGAATAATAGATTGATTTTGTTGCTCTCTAACAAATTTGTATTTATTTTTAATTCATTTGAATTAGTAGTTGTAACTGGAGAAGTTTTGTTACCTCGATCCTGGCCTGCCTGACTGGTAATATAGTATTAGCAGCCTCTTTTGAGCATTTTAATGAAAATATGGCTGAAAGGAATAAATGATGATATCTGCAGATTGCACAGAAAATGGCTTTTGTTCCCAATGTTAATATTTTTATTCTCAAGCACATTTCAATGTTTGCTGAGAGGGGCAGATTCACATAAAAAATGCTAGGTGTTCTTATCCATAGAGTTGGTGCAGTATAAGCAGTTGTGACAGAAGCTTCCTCCTACCTGATGCTGTTCCCACTCACCTCAGACTAGCCCCAAGACAGGGATTAGCAATCAGCGTGGACCTGAGGGCTCCAGGGAAGCCGGGGTGGCAGCCTGTCTCAGGCATCAGCAGCCTGCTCCCTGGGAAGAGCTCCTTGAGAGTGCTAGCTTTTTGTTAGCTAAGTTTTTCCTGGGCCCCACCATTCGTAAGACAGGTAGACAAAGTAGATGTCACAACAAAACAATTTTAAAGTGCTTTGCTTAGAGCTCTTTGTTTATGATCGCAATGTTTACATTTCTCATTTAATAAAAGGCTTTACTTCATTCTATTAAATTTTAGTGTTTAGAGAGGTGTGTACTGTCTCTTTGTATAATATGTATCATTTTATATAAGTTATACTGTTATGTCATATATACTTGCAATATCAGACCTTGTGTTCAATACACAATGCAATAGACCCTTTCTAGACCTGTATTTTTCAATGAACAATAAAAAGATTGTTTGGCACTACTCATTTCCCATGTTTCCTCTTCTTTGCAATAGTGTATCCGTTGGTATCTATTATTACAGTTTTTGTCTCTTATAAAACTTGGCTGTAGATTCTGTTTATGACTGGTCAGCTCTGAGACTTTTTTCAAAAGATATCTTTCTTATCTGACTTAAAATTCATAAAGACTATTTCATTTCTGTGTGTTCAGAAACAATTTGGTGCAGAGAAGTTCCTTGAGGTGCCTTAAACCAAGTGGAGGAGAATCCTCAAAGATCCTGGAACTTCACCTTGAAAAATCTCCTAAGTAATTATAAAATAGTAAATTTATAAAACATCCTATAATAGTGACTAAAGAGAGGAGTTGGTTGATGAGGAGACTACAATTTAGTTTCTACCCAGTGACCCTGAGCAGCCTATAAAGTCCTTTTGTTTTTCCTCCCCTGGATGAGGAGACAGTGCAGCTAAGGGGTCGAGATTGGCCTTCGCTATCAGGCTACATAGAGAATCGTTATGGCCTGAAGCTCAAAGCTGTATGATGCCTGATGGCTTGAAATAAGGCTGTTCCAGGTTTATGTTGACTGTGTTGTTAGATGAACTATCCTCAGGGACCAAGGGCTACTTGCTATTAACTTGTAAGCTTATAGAAGGGTGCACATTCCTCAGGTAACAGTCCAAATTTGTGTACAGTTTTGTTGGCCCTTCCACACTGAAATTGTAGCTCTAGTTTGTTATCTGGTTGGAACAGGGATTTCCCTGTGACCAGCCTCAACACATGAGAAACCTCCAATGGAAAGAAGTGTACTCTTTGACATCGGTCTTAGCAACATATTTTCAAGCACCACGTCTGACCGGGCAAGAGAAACAATAGAAAAAAACAAATGGGACTACATCAAACTAAAAACCTTCTGCACAGCAAAGGAAACCATCAACAAAATGAATAGACAACCTAACAATTGGGAGAAGATATTTGCAAACCATACATCTGATAAGGGGTTAATCTCCAAAATATATAAAGAACTCATGCATCTCAACAACAAAAAAACTAACAACCCAATTAAAAAATGGGCAACAGACCTGAACAGACATTTCTCCAAATAAGATATACAGATGGCCAACAGACACATGAAAAGATGTTCAAAATCACTAACTATCAGGGAAATGCAAATCAAAACTACAATGAGATATCACCTCACGCCCATCAGAATGACTGTAATTAACAAGACAGGAAACAAGTGCTGAAGAGGATGTGGAGACAAGGGAAGTCTCATACACTGCTGGTGGGAGTGCAAACTGGTGCAGCCACTATGGAAAACAGTATGGAGATTCCTCAAAAAATTAAGGATAGAACTACCATACGATCCAGCTATTCCACTGCTGGGTATTTATCCAAAGAATGTGAAAACACCAATGCGTAAAGAAACATGCACCCCTGTGTTCATTGCAGCGTTATTCACAATAGCCAAGGCTTGGAAGCAACCTAAGTGCCCATCAAGGAACGAATGAATGAAGAAGATGTGGTATATATACACAATGGAATACTACTCAGCCATAAGAAACGATGAAATCCAGGCATTTGTGACAACATGGATGGACATTGAGGGTATAATGCAAAGTGAAATAAGTCAGAGGGAGAAGGTCAAATATCATATGATCTCACTTATTAAGTAGTAGATAATAACAACAACAACAAACACATAGAGACAGAGATTAGATTGGTGGTTACCAAAGGGGAAGGTGGGAGGAGGAGGGCAAAAGGGGTAATTAGGCACATGTGTGTGGTGATG